ATTAAATCACAAGTATACTTTTTATAAAAAATATTTTTTAGTTGTTGATGGACCTTTATTTTATTTACTTATTTATATGTGGTGCTGAGAATTGAACCCAGTGCCACACACACGCAAGGCAAGTGCTCTACTGCTAATTTATGAGTCCAGCCCCACGAGTATACTTTTTTATAATTAAATATTCTTTTAAACTCCCACAAGGTACTGTAGACGCATACCTAGAAATGTCACTTAGGCAGAGCCAGGATGCAAGCTCCTTAGGCAAAGGGACTGATTTTAAGACAGTGACTTGTGTGTGTGTAAAGAATATATGTAATATAGATATGCTATTTATTATACCATAACTCTAATATAATAATCATACATAATTTTATGGGTATATGTATTTATATTGATAAATACATATAGATATGTGATTGTTTTAAAATCTGCTCTTTTTCCAGAACCAAACATGTGCTGGGGCAGCATATGGTGTTGAACAGCAAGTAACCGCATTTTCTTGGATGTTTTTGAATTTTGTCATTCCAAAGTTTCAAAGATTACAAAAGACAAACTTCTTTGAACTCTCATTTTTATTTGTTCATAGGGAAATTATTGATCTGGCAACTGTTTAATTTCGTAAGGATTAAGATTCTAGGAGATTGTTGGTACATAATAATTAACTAATACTTGTGAAATATCTTTGAATTGAAATTCTTTCCAATGTAGAGTTCACAAGTTATAAAACAAGCATGGGAGTTTTACTTTGCCTTAGCAGTGGAAGTGAATTGTCTTGGTTGTAATTTTCATTTTTCTCATATGTAATATAATGGATAAAATAGCTACCTGTTTCATGGGTTGATTATAAAATAATTACAAAGTCCTTCATGAGTTTCACAGACTCTACAAAAAAGATTTTTTAATTTTAATTTGGAAAAGCAATTTATTTTGTTTTTAAATACCTTAAAAATCCTGCTTTAGGTCTGGGGCTATACCTCAGTTTGTAGAGTGCTCGCCTTACATGCACAACGCCCTGGGTTCAATCCCCAGCACCACCACAAAAAAAAAAAAAAAAAAAAAAAACAAGACACAAAGACCACTTTAAAAATTCTATATACTTTATTTAAAAATCTAATAGTAGCATTGCAGAAGACTGTTTCTAAATTAGGAAAATTAGATATCCACATGCAGACAAATGAAACTAGACCCTCTATGTCACCAGTTACACATAGCAACTCAGAATGGCTTAAAGACTTAAATATAGGCAAGTGCAGTGGTGTACACCTTTAATGCCAGTGGCTTAGGAGGCTGAAGCAGGAGGATTGTAAATTCAAAGACATGCTTCAGCAACTTAGCGAGGCCCTAAGCAACCTAGCAAGACTCTCAAAATAAAAAATAAAAAGGACCAGGGACTATTGTTATGTTTAACTAAAAAGAACAAATAAAATAAAGGGCTGAAGATGTGGCTTAGTAGTTAAGTGCCCTTGGGTCAATCCCTGGTAAGAAAGAAAGAAAGAAAAAAAAGAAAGAAAGAAAAAGAAAGGAAGGAAGGAAGGAAGGAAGGAAGGAAGGAAGTAGGTAGGAAGGAAGACTCACATGTAAGCCCTTAAATTTTCTAATCTAATTAAATAAAACAGGGCAATTGCTTTAGGACATAGTACTGGGCAAAGAATTTTGGATATGACCCTAAGTGCACAGGCAATAAAAATAAAAACTTACAAATTTACATTGTAAGTAAAAAGCTTTTTACTTACATTGAAGTAAAAAGCTTCTGTGTAGCAGAGGAAACAATCAACAGAGCAGTAGATGATATTTGTAAGCTATACATCTGACAAGTGGTTAAAATCCAGAATAGATAAAGAACTCAAAAAATAGCAAAAACAAAACAAAACAAAAACAAAAACAAAAAACCAAAAAAAACATAACTCAATTAAAAAGTGGGCTAAATATTTGAATAGACATTTCTCAAAAGAAGATATACAAGTTACCACCAGATATATGAAGAAAACCTCAATATCATTAATCATCAGGTAAATATAAATGGAAACCACACCTCACTCCAGTTAAAAAGGTCATTATCAAAAAGGGAAAAAAATAGCCAATACTAGTAAAGGTGTGGAGAAAGAAGAGCTGTTATAACACTGTTGGTAGAAATGTAAATTAGTACAGCCATGTGAAAGCAGTATGGAGGTTCTACAATAAACTAAAAATGGATGACAGGATCCAGTCATTTCACTATTGGGTATATCCCCAAAGGAAACACAAACAACATGTCAAAAAGATATCTGCACTCTCATGTTTATAGCAGTACTGTTTACAAGAGCCAGGGTATGGAATCAACGTCCATCAATGGATGCATGCATAAAATAAATATAGATATTGTAATAGCAATGTTTTGGCCAAGATACACAGAGAATGACCATTTGAACTAGAAGGATTGCTGACACATCATATCTGCCAATTATAATTTAAGAAGCAGCCCAAAGAGGAAGAAGACCCCAGAATTGGCCATGAACACACAGATGGAATCAACGTTTATATATATATATATATATATATATATATATATAAACACTATTCAACCATAAAAGCATGGAATCCTGCCATTTTCAACAGCATGGATGAACCTGAAGGAAATGTTAAGTGAAATAACTCAGGCACAGAAAGGCAAACATGGGATGATCTCACTAGTAAGTGAAATCTAAAAAAACTGAGCTCGTAGAAGTCAATTAGAACCAGGTGCAGTGGTGCACACCTGTAATCCCAGTGGTTCCGGAGGCTGAGGAAGGAGAATCCCAAGTTCAAAGCTAGCCTCAGCAAAAATGAAGCACTAAGCAACTCAGTGAGACCCTGTCCCTAAATAAAATACAAAATAGGACTGGGGGTGTGGCTCAGTGGTCAAACACGGATGAGTTCAATCCCCAGTACCCGTCCCCCGCAAAAATGAAGTCCATAGTAGTTACCAGGGACTGGGGAGAATAAAAGGAAAGAGGCATGGGGAGAAGTCAGTCATTGGGTACAGTGTTTTAGTCTGGTAGGAGGAATAAGTTTGGGTGTTCTATGGCACAGAAAGGTGAATATAATTAACAATAAAGCATTATGCATCTCAATATTGTTAGAGAAAATTTGAACATGCTCGCCATAAAGCGATGATACAACTTTAAGGTATAGATATGCTGAGTTGATCACTATCCAATGTATACAAAATGAATCAAAACATCACACTGTAACTCAAAAATATATAAAAATACGTGTTAAAATATTTCCTTTACAGAAGTGGTATGAAGAGTGGCATTTTGACTTTATTTCATTTAGCTCCTGATCTAATCTATATCATGTTTTTATCTGTGGAATCTGGACATGGTGGTCTTTCTAGAGGATGGCATTTTGATGTGGTGAGGTCCCCAATCCTTGGTGTCCTGTATGGGGGCTCTGTGTGTTCATGGTGAATTCTGGGGTCTTCTTCCTCTTTGGGCTGCTTCTTAAATTATAATTGTCAGATATGATGTGTCAGCAGTCCTTCTAGTTCAAATGGTCATTCTTTGTGTATCTTGGCCAAAACATTGCTATTACAATATGACTTGTTTGTTTGGTACTGGGGATTGAACCAAAGGCTTCTTTCATCCTGACAAGCACTTTATCACTAAACTATAGACTCAATATTTTAAAAAATATTTATTTTAAGACAGGATATCTTGCTAAATTGCCCAGGTTGGCCTCGGACTAGCAATCCTCTTGCATCAGCCTCTGGAGTAGCTGGGATTACAGGTACATACCACTGCATGGGGACACAAAGTGATTTTTGAAGATTAAATGATCCAATCAGATGGAAAATGTCTGGTGCAGAAGACCCACTGAAAGCCACTTTAATTTTATGGTGTTGATTATATGCTTATTATATATTGAAGTAGCAGTGCTGTGAAATCAAGCTACTCAAACCTTTAAAAAACATATTTTGGATTAATAGATGATTGATGTTTGCTAACAGTATAGAAACTTCTAGAATATTGCCCATAGTTCATAACTTTGTGATTTTCATCATTGTTATTTTGAACTTCATTTCAGATATCCAGAATTCACTTTTACTCTTCGTATTTATTTGGTCTATAGTGAGCATTGAGTGGAAAGTGCACATTATACATGCTTTGAAAATACTGGATCCTTAACATTTCCAAAAAATGCATGTTAATGAAAAAAAAAATATTTAAAGAAATTCTGTGAGTCTTAAAGCTTTTTTCATATCTGCAAGTTTCTAGACACTTTTAAATATTTGCAGGGTTGAATAACTGGAGTCTATTTCTTCCCCAGGGAAGAGCAGGCAATGCAGGCTAGGACTATAGGACCCTGACGGGAATGGATATTCAAGGAAGCTGAGGAGGGGTACAGCCAGGGGGCTTTCCTCTGTTGTGTTCAGGCAGTTTCTTTCCATTACAGGGTAGATTCCCATCAATTGTATATTTTACCCTGGTATCCTCTGGTAAAAGTCACTGAGAGAATGTTTGTTTCTTCTGCTTGTATGAGGATAACTTTGACAGAAGGGATATCTTTTTTTTTTTTTTTGCCTTGTGGTACTGGGGATTGAGCCCAGCCCTCTGAGCTCCAGGCCCTTCCCCTTTAAAGTTTATTTTGAGACAGGGTCTTGTTAAGTTGCCCAGGTGGACCTAGAACTTGTGATCCTCCTGCCTCAGCCTCTGAATTATCTGGGATAATAGGTATATTCCAGTGTGCCTGGTGGGATATTCTTATAAATCTTTTGTCAGTTTCATAGGTTGAAGCCAGCCCTTTGAAAATCTGATAGTTTTCAACTTTAATTGTTTTAGTTGGAATGACAGTTAAAACAGGAATTTATCAGTACTTAGCGTCTTATGTTTGTTCTCATTTCTACCAGCAGGCCAAAGTGTACTGAAGATAAACAACACTTGCCGAAAGTTCAAAGGGCACACAAGTTTGGTGATAAGAACCCACTATATTTATAGAATCACTGGAGTCTAAGCTTCCAGTTGCATTTACGCAGCTTACCAATGGCTCTCTTCATTGTCTTGGTGGTTTGTCTTTCTTGTTTGATTCTTTTTTCTCTGTGGAATCGAAGGCATGCCAAAGGGAAGCTCCCACCTGGCCCCACTCCTCTTCCAATCATTGGAAATATGCTACAGTTAGATATTAAGAATATTGCCAAATCCTTAAGCACTGTAAGTATGACTGATTCTCTTTCAGTTGTTTGCAACGAGTAAATAACATAGCCTTAGAGCTAAATAAAATATGGTCTTGGGTGCCATGTTTTAAAGGGAAGTATCCACTGGCTACCTGGATATGATTTTTCGAATGTATATAACTAGAAGAAAATGGGATCTATGAGGTGACTGTTGAAATTATCAAAAGCAGGAATTCTCTATCTTTATTGTGACCTAGGTCTCTATTTTAGTATTTATTCTTTGATGCGCTCTAATGGGAACGAAACTGTTTTCAGTTTCAGCAAAATCTACTGACTTACAGAGCTCCAACACTAAATTTTCCTGAAGCACATATTAACTTGAAGTCAAAGAAGTGACTAAGGGTTCAGGAATTTTGACAATTCCTATTACATTTACCAACTTAAGAAATCAACAACTTTCTGCTCCAAGTTTACATAGTGGTGCCTCTCCAAAGGAATTATCTGAAACCTATCTTTCCCCAGAGATAGCTCAGTTGCTGTAGCACTGCCCTAGAAGCTCCTTCTTCCTGTGCCTTGGGTTCTGGATCAAGATTGTGTCAGCATCTGGTTTACCCATTTGTTAATTCACGGCTTTAGGCAGGTTTTAAGATTTCTCTGAGCTTTGAGCTCCATTTCCTTAAGATGTAAATAATAATGATTTTGCATGGGTTACCTGAGTGTATCATACATTCAGCAATAATTAATGACTACTTTGCATTAGGCACCATTGTAGATGAATACAGAGGATTTTTAATGGTAAATGAAAAATTTAAAAGAGTGGCATTATAGAATTTGCAGTCTGGAGAGTAGGCAGATACTATGACTAGTTTGCCAAGTTTTCCTGTATTAGTAAAATGTACAGATCTTTGGTGCTAAAAGGGTGATATTGAGAATGAATAACAAGGATTATTAGCAGTGTAAACATGTATACATGGGGCAATTTGGAGGAACTTTTTTAATCAGGAGGAGAAATAAATCGTTTTACTGTAAGTATAGTCAGGAAGGTTGAAATTGATGCAATTCTAGGTTTGGCAGGAAAAGTTTATTAAGTCATATAAACAGATGCATAATATAGTCTCTGTCACATAATTGGAGCTGAATAATAACAATAGCAATCTTATAGTATCATGATAAGTACCATTTAAATGTATTTTCTTATTAAATTAATGGTTCTAAAAGTTGAATTCCTTCATAATTCCTTTATAATGGTACTAATGAGACTGTACAAATAAAAATATTTCTTTCAGTCCTTTACATTTAAGTATTGAAATTCTCACTTTTCTGCATCTCCTGCTTCTTTTCCAGCTAGCAAAAGATTATGGCCCTGTATTTACTGTGCACTTTGGCATGAAGCCCACTGTGGTATTATATGGATATGAAGCTGTAAAGGAAGCTCTGATTGATCGGGCAGAGGAGTTTTCTGGCAGAGGAAGTTACCCAGTGATTGACCACATTTTCCAAGGATTAGGTATGATTGTTTTTTTGGGGAATGTCCTTGGGTTGATAAGTTGCAAGAATCCAAACAGTTGAAGAAATTAAGAAATTAGAAGCACTTGAAAAAAATTTATGAAACACACATTTCATAATTCTAAACGAAGCCTATGAATAAATTGTTTTAAAGTTTTATTAAATTTTGAATCAACATATATTAATTATACATATTAATGGGGTTTGGTGTGGTATTTCAAAATATGCATACAATCTGGACTGATGAAATCCACCCTTCTTTTTTCCACCCTCTTCTGCTCCTTCCTGACCTCTAATAATCTCTAATAAATAAATTTTCTCTAAGGTGTTGTTAATTCATTTCCAAAATCTATGAATGTGACATAATGTCCTCATGAAACATTAAATTCAGTGAAAGTAAACCATCTGACCACTAATGCTCTATGAATTTGTGCTTAAGACACTTTTAATTTAATTATGGCCAGTTGATATTACAAGCAAGTGACTGAAAGAGAACAGGGGAGGTAATGACTATAGCATTCTATTCACCAAATATTTTGCTTCTTGGACTGAAGCATGGATCTATGAGGCTCTGTTTGAAGCCTGGTTAATATTCGTGGAATCATTGCGGGTTTGGACTATTTACAGATCTGTTTTTAATCTTTTATTCTTCTAAAAAACCTAAGAAGTATTCGAATCCAATAGAATACAAAGTATAAAGCACAGATATGCTCTGATAAAAGGATCAAGGAGAAATGCATAGGGATTATACATTGGATTGAGATTATAAAAGCTTTTTAAAAAATTAAGTACAGATGCTCCTTGATTTATGATGTGGTTATATCCCTGTAAACCCATCTAAGCTGAAAATATTCTAAGTCAAAATACATTTTGTACACTAACATCATAGTCTAGCATCAACCATTTACCTCCACGATTGCAAGGCTGACTGGGAGCCCTGGCCGACTGGTGCTGCCAAGGATCAGCACTGCATGTCACTAGCCTGACAAAAAATTAAGATTCAAAAATTTAAGTGTGATTTCTATTGGATATGTGTCCATTTTGCACTATTATAAAGTAAAAAAAAATTCAGAGATTAAAACACTGTTAAATTGGGGACTGTCTATAGTTGACCTGTCCAGTTTAGGAGCTGACTTTAAATTATTCATCTTTCTGGTGGGTTCTGGAACACACAGATAAATGATCCTTTTCTTCTCTACATTGTGTGCTAAGAGCTTCCTATGCAAATTGCCTATAATTTTGTCCCCCTTCCCCTTATCCTCTGTATCTTGTCTTGAGTTTGGAAGTCTGATTTTGAACTTACTGATGCTAAGACCACATTATGTGGAAGAGATTAAACAAGTAAAAGTGGGTATTGAGATGCGAAGAGCTATATGTCCATGACTATTTCCTTTATGTGAGGAATAGATTATCAGGAGATTCCTTCAAATGCAGAAGAGTTGTCTCACATTCTCTTGAGAATTGCCACCTCTTGATGATTCTCCTAAAATTCACTTACAATCATAAGAGTCATGCCTGAAGAATCCTATGTTTTGGACTCACTGCGATTTATTAACTGTGTGATCATAACAGCAAGCATTTTATTTCCATAATCATCAACATTCTTTCCAGTATAATGGGGAAAGAACACTGATTCACAGAATTGTTCTGAGATTTTGAGGAGATGATGGGTGAAGAAGAGTTTAATAATATGTAAGATCAAGTGTCCTGACAGTAAAATGCTAGGTTAGGTGACGAGAGGTGGCAGGTGAGGTGGGGCTTAATGGGAATTTCTGAAGCTGCCACCACTATATTTACATTCCTGGTTATGTGTCACTGTCATTTCCTGAGATGAGTGAGATGAGTACTCGGGTAGAACTCAAGACCATGGAGGATATTCATCTGTGCTCTTTTTCTTTGTGTCTTGATAGGAATTGTTTTCAGCAATGGTGACATATGGAAGCAAACTCGGCGTTTCTCCCTCACGGTTTTGCGGAATATGGGGATGGGGAAGAAAACCATTGAAGACCGAATTAAAGAGGAAGCCTTGTGTCTGATAGACGAATTAAAAAAAACCAACGGTGTGTATAATTATTTGTATAATTAACAGTAATAGGGTAGACTAATTGCTATTACAAGTAGAATTTTAGATAAGGATATAGAGTATCAAGTAAACCAGAAATTTACTTTTTGTTCAGGTGACAGTAGTAAGAAGTGGAGTGGTGAGGGGCATAGCCACTTTTAGGACAGGTTGACAGGTCTTTAATATCATTACCCTTTGGCTTTCAATGTTAAGCAAGATTCATCTCTTTGGTAGTGGAAGTAGAAAAGACCAAGGAAAATAGCAAATAACATTTAGGTCAGGCATGGATGTGTCACAGAAAATTTCTTCCTATTCCATGGGCTCTATCTTAGTAACAAACAGGGTCACACCTAACTGTGAGACAAACTGGAAAATGTGATTAACTATGTCCAGAGGAAGAAGATGAGAACATGCATTTTGGGAATTAACTAGCAGTCTTGGCCATACTAACTTTAAAAACTAAGTAACTTTTCTAGTAACTTCTTAAGAAACATTACAAAGTCCACCTAATTCTTCCAATGTGCATGGTGGGATTTGTCTCATATGGAAGAGTTTAGGAGAGAAGGGGGAAGCAGCCACTGTACAAATCTCAGTGTATGCCCCTACAGGCCTGGAGCACAGGGGAAAGGAGGAGAAAGAGTGGGCAGGAGATCAGGCAGTAAGGGGTAAGGTCAGGATCATAAGGCATAGGTTGTTTTAGAACCTTATTATTTAAATATTTTAAAGCACATTATTAAATTAATAATACTTTATTCCTATGGTGAATCGCTGTTGTGTTTATTTATATAAATCTAGTTTTATTCTTAGAATAAATTTTTGGAAATGGATTAAGAGTGCCAATGAACATTGTTTGATACCTATTATGCAGAAAGGAAAGGAATGAGAATAGGGGGCATATACTGTGCATATTGTTCTGTAAACTTATTTTTAGATATAATATATCGAGTTGATAGTCTCATATGTTTGATTTTAAAGTACTCTCAAGAACATTAACTGAATTCTCTTATTTCCGATGTACCATAATTTAATTAGCCAGTCTTCTACTTTTGGTCAGATGAGTTATTGCTGGTCTTTGGTGCTATTAATACAAAAAAATGAAATTTATACAAAACATTGCAGATCTTTGACTATTTCCTTAGAATAAAATTTTGGAAATAGAATTAGCAAAGTAATTTGGCTTTTAATACATATTAAATAGGAAGAGACTTTTTTTGTACTTCATTTGGATTTCCTTTCTTTGTCTTTTGTGCTACTGGAAATGGAGTGCAGGGGTGCTTTATCACTGAGCTACATTTCTAGCCCATTTTACTCTTTTATTTTGAGATTGTGTCTTGTTAAGTTGCATGAACTGGCCTTGAACTTGTGATTCTCCTTCTTCAGCCTCTGGAGTAGCTGAGATTTACAGGCGGGTACCACCATGCCTGGACTTACTTTGTATTTAAAATAGAATTTACATGGATGGGTTCCACTTTCCCATGGTGACTGTGACCTTCTCTTAGTTTTCAGACCGATGGTCACTGGCATTCTGCCTCATTCCATCTACTATTGGGGACCTCAGACTCTTGGGGACACCCATTTCAACATTGGATGTTGCTAACTGTTGGAAATGTCTTCCATAGATTGAGAAAAAACAGTGTGTCCTTGAAACTTCTACTGTTCGATTGAGCTAATTGTTTCCTTCTGGAGTTATAGGGCTGTGGTTGTCACTGCACAGAGGCAGGGTGCAGACTAATGCTGTGACACAGGCTGATAGGATATGAAAGTTTTATTATTCATGTCATGGTGCTTTCTGGGAAGACAGTGATTCCCAAGCAGGTCTGAAAATGGTGTGAGAAAGAAGGTAAGAGATACTGGCTTGAGGGTTTCATGGTGTTTTGGAGCTGTGGCCAGGATGGGGTCCCTGTGTAGGGCAGGGCTTGCATGGATTAAACTTCCTGCTTGTGCCAATGGAGTGAGCACTTGGGCTTTTTAATCCGCTTGTCTAGATGTGGGTAGAAGAGGAAGACAAAGGAATAAAGCTATCAAACATTTAAAAAAAAAATGGAGATTGCTGGGTGTGGTGGTGCATGTCTGTAATCCCAGTGGCTCAGAAGGCTGAGACAGGAGGATTGGAAGTTCAAGGTCAACCTCAGCAATTTAGCAAGGACCTATGCAACTTAGTGAGACCCTGTCTCAAAATAAAAAATAAAAAGTCCTAGGGATGTGGCTCAGTGGTTAAGCACCCCTGGCTTAATTCCTTGGTACAAAAAAAGAAAAAAAAAAAAGAAGTTGTATTCTTTATTATGTAGGAAACCTGCTTTCAAAATTATAGTGGATTTTTTCAAATATCTGAGTATGACTGCGTTTATTTCTTATTACTCTCTCTTCTATAAGAAAATTATACCTGGATTTCCAAGGAGTGTTGTGTTAAATACAATTTCAAGTTCCCTTACTCTTTTTTTTTTAAACTTAATTTTTTTTTTGTATTTTTTGCTTTTTAGTTGTAGATGGACATAATACCTTGTTTTATTTATTTATTTTAATGTAGTGCTGAGGATCAAACCCAATACCTCACATGTGCTAGGCAAGCGCTCTACCACTGAGCCACAACCCCAGCCCTACTTACTCTCTCCTCTTTCTTATTATTCTTTATTATTTGGTTGCTCAGTTTTCTACAGGCAGCATGAGAAAGTGTCTACATGAAATGATTTTCATGCATTTTCCTTTTTGTGAATTAGAACATTTAGAAAATAATGAAAGGAGTCAGATACCTGGGAATAGAAATTAACAAACAAACTGGAGCTTATTAGTCACTTTTGTTTGGGGAAAAACAATGAATTGATTTTTAGGCATGTGGAGTTTGTAGTGATGATGGCCTATCTAGGAAGTTCACCCTTCCAAGTTATTTTAAATAATACATTTAAGATTTATATGAGAATTGTGTCCTAACTTCTAACTTCCATTGTTTTTAGGATCTCCATGTGATCCTACCTTCCTTCTGTCCTGTGTTCCCTGCAATGTGATCGCCTCTGTCATTTTCCAGAATCGTTTTGACTATGGTGATGAGAAATTTCATACCTTGATTCACTATTTTCATGAAAATTTCCGACTTGTAAGCACTCCCTGGATACAGGTAAGATCCAGTTCTACTTAAATGTGAAATTATCATTGGACCCAAGTCCATCTGCTCACTGCTTAAAAGCCAATACTTGGGAGATAAGAGTTGATGGGAAGGAAATCTGATTTATTCAAGGGATACCACCCTGAGAAGATGGAGGTGGGAGGCTGTGATACCTTAAAAATGAAGTTCATCATAGAGAACTCTGGTGCAAAAAGACTTTCCTGAGCAGGAGAGGGGATCATAGACTTGAAGGCTACATGCTGAGTCACACATGCAGGTTCATTAACCATCTCCCTCCCTTGGGAGTGTTTTCCTTTCTCTTTTACTGGAACATCTTTGTGATAATAACCAACTTGCATCTCCTAGGCCAGTCCTTAGAATTCTTTAGGCAGACACTTTATTTTCCTGCAAGTTAAATGATATTCCACTTTTATTTAAGGAGCTGGATTAGCAAATCTTTAGCCCATACATTGATGTTATCTGAAGACCATCAGATGTTCCAGATTCTGAAAAATTAAAGAAAGAGAACTGATTAGAAGGTCTTGGAACCTGTATTTTCTTATTCCTTTTTCTTGCAATAGTTGCCTCCAGCAGTTCAGTCAGTCACTTAAAGATGGTTTTGTTTAGAAATTATAATGCTGGGCAAGGAAATAGACAAAAAACAACTTTTCGAGGGGATAGTTTTCAAGACAGGGTGAAATATGACAAAATGATGTAGCCATTATTGCTGTTACAATTCCCCTTTAGTCAATCATTCAATTATTAAGACACTGAACAGGGGAGAAGAGCAAAAGGCAACTTTCACAGAACAGTTGTAATCTGTTAAGTGGCTTCAGTTTTGGAACCATCGGATAGTGGGAGATGAATGATATCACCTCCAGAATTCACAATTTTTAAAGTTGATTATAAGTATGTGGAGCTAGAGTGTTGATTTAGGTTTTCCTTCAGTTACAAAATAATTTTCTAGCTAATTTATTGCCCATACCTACCTCATCCCTCGGCCCTATTTCAAAATGGCTAAAGTGATGTTTATAAAGCTATTATTTGTAACCCGTTTGTGAGATATGAGGTTAGTTTAATAGTTCAAATAAAATTTATAACATGAAGTAAAGTAGAACAGAAAGAAAAATACAGTATTAGAGTAATTCATTTTAGAAAATTCATTTGAGAAACTTTTTTAAAAAAAATCTATAAGTATAGAGCTTGATTATGTAAAATGTATTTCTTATTATGGTATGGTACACTGTCAAAAAATTCTAGTAGATTGTGTTGAACAGTCATTAGCAACTGAAATTCTGTGTGGATTCATAAGGTCATCATGTGCTCTATCTGGGAAAAATCTCAGAGAACAAGTAGCCTACCCCTTCATTTAGCACCCAGAGGTATTAGGTATTTCTGAAAGTAGCTTTGGCAAAACAACCAGTGAGCTACATCTGGAATCTAAATTTCTGTACATTTGATAACCACAGACATTTTATTTGTGTCCTCTCCTTTAAATTCCATGTATATTTTAGTACAGGAAGTGAGTCTTACTCATTTGTACTCAGCACGTAGCAAAGTGGGTGACATCTAATAAGGGCTTATAAATGTTTCTTGAGTTAATGAAGGATTTTTTTCCTCTTTCAGCTCTATAATTTTTTCCCTAGTTTACATTATTTCCCAGGAAGTCATAATGAGTTCTTTAAAATCATTGCTAACCAAAAAAAGTTTATTATGGAGAAAGTAAAAGAGCATCAAGAATCTCTGGACATCAATAACCCTCAGGACTTTATTGACTATTTCCTGATTAAAATGGAAAAGGTATAATGTGACTCTGTCTTTATATCTCATGCTTTGTGGGTAATATCACTCAAAGATAAGCTTTGTTTTTCCATTACTTGTGCAACCTTCTGTTAATGCAAATCATTGAGTGTCTTGCGATATTTTAAAATTCTCAGTGGCGAAATGACATGAAAGGATTTGTATTTACCATGATAAAGGCTGTTCTTTATTTGGGGGTGAATTGATACACATATACAGTCACACGTTCAAGACTGATGATAATGTCACTGTTCATAAAATAACCTCCATGAGCCAGGGGTAGTGGTGCATGCCTGAAATTCCAGCAGTTTGGGAGGCTGAGGCAGGAGGCTCACAAGTTCAAGGCAGCCTCAGCATCTTAGTGAGGCCCTCAGCAATTTATCAAGATCCTGTCTCAAACTAAAAAATAAAAAAGGCTTTTGGTGCACCTCAGTGGTAAAACACCATTGGGTTTAATCCCCAGTACCAAAAAAAACCCAAAACAAAACAAACAAGAAACCATCCATGAATGGAAGGCCTAACAATTAGTTGAACACAAGAATAGATAGAAATCTGGGGAGGTTTACCTTTGGAGAGATTGCAGGAGACTTCACAGTTGAGGTAGGTTTTGAGGAAACTCTGGTTTAGATTAACAGGGAGGGTAAAATAATACCAAGGAATGATAATTGTAGTGGTTAAGTGTGTGGAAATTTTGAGGAGGTTAATTTAACTTGATTTTAACTGAGGAATGGTGGTGGGTATGATGACTGATGAAATTGAGAATAGTGATGAAGTTGGGGAGTGTGTTAACACTGGAGGTCTGAAGGGTAGATTTCGACATGATGAAACAGTGGACGCTAGAACTGACAGGGAGTAGCAGTGGATGACATAATAAAAATTATGTTTGCAAGACATTACGGGATAACTGATTTACTCTAGTGGGTGGGAAAGTGAGGACTTAGAAGTTTGTAACTGGTTTTATTTTAACAGTTTAAAGGAATTCTAATATTCTTCTTACTTCACCTTCAGCTATAGCATTAATGTCTGCCTTAATTTACCAAATACTTATGTTATATTGAATTATTTTATTTTACCTGGAAGACATTTACCAAGAAACTATCGCACATCATTTCTAGGAAAAACATAACACACAGTCTGACTTTACCATGGACAACCTGATCATCACCATCTGGGATCTGTTTAGTGCAGGAACAGAGACAACAAGTACCACAATGAAATATGGACTCTTGCTCCTGTTGAAGCATCCTGAGGTCTCAGGTATGAGCACAGATGACAGGCAGAATGAAGTCCAGGTAGGTGTTAGCAGACAACACTGATAACTGTTCCACTGTTTACCTGCATAGATAATGTACTAGAAATACTTTCATCATTTGTACTTTTACCTACCACTGGATGGATTCAATTCAAATTAGATCACTGGAAAAAGAATGAAATGTTTAAACAACACAGATCAGAAGGGCCATGGTTGTTATTCTTGCTATGGTGCAGAATCCTTGATTTGGTTTGGGACAGATGCAATAACATTTGTCAAAGGATCTGGACATCCTATAAGTAGTTTCTGACCACTTTATATGACCCCTTTGTTCTAGATAAAACTCCAACTCCCAAACTGAAGAGATATCCTCTTTCTTTCTCTGCAAAAATCTCTCTTGATGTGTCTTCCATGTCCAGATAAATATACCTTTGTCAAAAGATATTTATACTCAAATGCATTAACCATGTAGTGATTTGCTCAAGAAACTTACAATATTTCTCAATCAGAAAGGCTAACTCTCCAACTAAAAAATAATTGTACCCCAATTTAAAAAACCCTTTCTTTGCTGTTTTAGAAAAATAAAAATTTCCTCACAAACATAACTTCTCTTGCAAATGCAACTTTTTCATTTTCCCACCTCTTTTGTGTTGTATCCTCATCTACGAGGACATTTCCTTCATTGCTATATCATGACTTTGCTCTCATGCATTGCAACACATTCAGTAGAAATAAACCTCATGAGACTTACCTCCATGATATCAGCACTTTGTTTTAGGTCCTTCTACCCTCCCATTGTTTATAGGGAAAATAGAAGCATAACCTTAATATTCCTTTACTAGTGTGCATAGTGAGATGTGGTGCTCCTGTGTTTCTTTCACATGACATATACTCTCTCATGAGCTTTTGCAAAACCTATGCTGAGTATGAGCAGAAACAGTATGTATTATTTTACAAACCTTTAAATCTTGTGTGTACTTCACAAGATGTTATTGTGTCATGTTTCCCCATCACTTCCATTGGATTTCTTTTGCATCATATTTGTATATATTTTCCTTTCCTTTCTTCCCATCACAACTCTTACTGTGCCATTCTATGCCATTCTGATTTTATAAGTAGTTCCTGACCAATATATATGACCCCTTTCTTCTAGATAAAACTTCAGCCCCTAAATCAAGAAAGTGAAATTCCTTGTCTGAAATTCCTTTTTTTCTTCTTTACAGCTACCAAAGTGCAGAATTTTCACATGCTCCATTACAAAGTTTCATTCTCTAGGTGGTAGATAAATGTAACCTGACCAAAGTGGTAACATGGCATTGATACTCTGGAAAATGGGTTTTAGACTCTAATAGTGGTGGCTCAATATTCTGACTGTACTTGTGAGCAGCTGTGTAACCTCAGCCTCCTCACTACCTGTCCATGTTCCTGGTCTCTTATCTGTTTCACAGGGATGATATGGGAAAGACCACATATTACCTGGGTGTCTTTAGGAAATACACTTACTTCTCTGGCCAGGTTTCTTTCTAGACCAAACAAAATAATACCCAACACACAGTGCTATTTTGAGGAATTATACTGTAATGAATTATGCAGTATGTCTGTCATATATTACATTCTAAATAAATGTTAATTTTCTTCCTGTTCCCTTGTGCTTAATCAACCAAATATCTTATTCTGTTCTTCTCTTTATTAAGCATTTACTGCACCGAGTACTTCTTAACCTCTTGGAATTTACAATAATATTTATAATGAAAACTGGCACACACAAAGTGGTAAACTACATGGTTTTTAATGACTTTTTAAGATTCTAGATCTTTGAGTCTACACAAAATAGAGAATCTGGTTTGAAAACTGAACTTTGTTGGACAATTATGTTTTATATGTGTATATATTTAGGTAATTAATTGACATCTAATTTGCCCAGGAAGTTAAAACTTCTATTTTTCCCTTATGGAGGTAATGATCCATAATTTCCATATCTTCCACCACAATGATTAAGAATTCAAATAAAAGTTATTTTACATCTTTTTCATTTCATATAAATTATCATTTCTTCCTCTCCAGCTAAAGTCCAGGAAGAGATTGAACGAGTGATTGGAAGAGACCGCAGCCCCTGCATGCAGGACAGGAGCCGCATGCCCTACACGGATGCTGTGCTGCATGAGATCCAGAGATACATTAACCTCCTTCCCATCGACCTGCCTCATACAGTGATTCAGGACGTTAAGTTCAGAGAATACGTTTTTCCAAAGGTAAGAGATAATTAGTCTATGCTTCTCCTTAGGAACCTTAGGCTGTCGATGATTCCAATGTGAATTTCCTAAACTTCTAAGGGAACTCAGGCATCTCACCCTCTGACCATGTGCTCCTTTCTTTCTTGTTTGTTGACATATTTTCTAAATAGAATACCAGTAGCAACCTCAGTATACTGATAGCTCCACCCTCTGCCTGGTTGTTAGTGCAATCTGCTTCCTTGCTCTCCCAGGTATGTTTTATTACTCTTGCCAATTAACCCGTGTCTTATATTCCCATCTCCCTCCCTCCCTCCCTGCTTTCTGATTCACTTACTTATAAAGAGCCTGATCCAATAATCTCCTTCCTCCTCCCCGACTTGAACTATTGAACCCAGTCTGCCAGAGAAGACTCTGCAACCCAGCAGGTTGGTCTTATAATCACCACCCACAATACATGGGTATACTATTCACCAATTCTGAATGTGTCTCAAAGGTACTCAGAAACCCTGTTTTATAACTTTACTCATCTTGGGTCACCATGTGCCACAGTGACTCTTTTAACCTTGAACTTTCCTCAACACCCGAACTCTCTACCAGCTCCTTTATTCCAGGTGACTTGGTCTTCCACCTGACAGAGGAAATCAGAGCACTGGGAGGAAGTCCCTCAGTTCCCTTCCTCTAGATACACATACTTAGCTGCATCCACACAATTCTCTTTCATGTCTGTCACTGTGAAAGAAATCCCCTTTTATCTAAAGTAAACCCTTCTAAACTGCTGCATAGCCCCTTTCTCCTCACTTTTTCAAAGATCTTCCTTAAATAATAATTTCCTCTTGCTTCTTCTTCTTCTTTTTTTTTTCTTTTTGTGATGCTGGGGATTGAACTTGTGCATGCGAGGCAAGCACTCTACCAACTGAGCTGTATCCCCAGCCCCTTCTTGCTTAATCTTCATATTTTCCCTCCCTTCTGGCTCCTTTCTATCTACTCACATCTCTTACATCTTAAGAAAGATCTATCCTTAAACTCTAATCCCTTTGGCTCAAACTTTTCTCAACCATTTCCTCAAATTCAAAATTCCCAGAAAAAGTGGTTTGTTCTAGCCACGTAAACATTTCCCAATTGATCATTTATTCATCAATCCACTGAAAATTATCTTCCGTTCCAGTGATGCTGTGTTCATCCAGGTCATAGATGGCTGCCATGTTACTAAATTTAGCAATTTAATAACAGGCCTGATTTTGCTTGGCTTATGGCAGTGCCTATATTCTTCTGGATGTGTCACATTGTGATCCACCCACTTTCCACAACAGTGGCACAATCTCTATTTCTCATGCTAAGTATTTATTTTCAATATTCTTTATCTTGTAGAATGTTGAATAACGTTTGTTGAATTCTAAATGCTGAAGATAAAGAATGATATAGTTTTGTCTGCCTGAAAATGTCTTTATATTAGCTGTTAATCTGTAATTTTGTGGGGCAGGAAGGTGATCTATTTCTCCCCAGATGTTGGAGTTTGGCCAACAAGTGTCTAATTTGAGAGTGACCCAGAGATTCTGTAGAGTTCACATATAGAATTTAGGTCTCTTCTTGTCTGGCCCTTTCTTTTCTGGGATTCAGCCAATTTCTTTTCAGCTTCTGTGTGGACAGCATAGCTGAAGCATGTCACTAGTTCTTCAAGACAGTGAGACTGATTATTATAGTCACCCAATATTCCCCTTTCCCCCTTCCCCCTACCCCCGTGCTTGCCCTAGAGGTAAAACCAGTTCCTTTGCATTTGGGATCACCCCACAATATATGTATGTATGTGCATTTATATCAGAGATTATCTGATAGGATTCTCTTGACTTTTCCCTATTAACATGTCTTTATCTTTGCTGACTTATTCTTTTGCAGTCTTCTTGATATTAACACTATCCAATAAATTTGAATTTCTGCTCTTTTCAACTTTATAATTTTATTTACTTATTGTTGTTTCTTTATAGAACTTAATAGCATATCTACTTTTATACAGGGATATAATAGCTACTATTTATTCCTTTTAATTATTCTTTAAATACTTGGGCACATTCATAATATCCATCTATTTAGAAGTTCTTGTGTGATAATTCTAGGATACCATGGGGTCTGTTTTTATTGACATTTTTTTCTTTAATTACGGGTTACATTTAGATACCAAAATATTGTGAAAACTTATCATTATTATAATGGTAATAAAATCTTTCTCCCTGAGCACTTTCACATGTGGCAGTATGTATGTAAAATTTTTTTGGGCTGGGGGTATAGCTCAGTGGCAGAGTCCTCACTTCCATTAGCAGGACACTAAGTTCAATGTCCTCCCTAATGTCTTTCACATATTATCCTACTTTACCATTTTACAATTACAATAAACTATGGTGGGTTGTTTGCATTTTACTAGTGATGGAAATGTAGTACTGAAATGTTAGACAACTTACATGTGGTAACATAGCTTGATTAGATAGAGGCAAAGATTCCATTGACTTTGAAAAATAAACTGAATCTAGAAGTTAGAAATTCTCTCTCCTTTCTAAAAGAATATGTTGCAATTCAGTTAAATCAACATATCAACAGGAGAACATCTGTTTTACTCAGCTGTTTTGTTGCCATGACCAAAAGACCCAACAAGAACAATTTTAGAGGAGGAAAAGTTTATTTGGGGACTTATGGTTTCAGAGGTCTCAGTCTCTATGTGGTTGACTTTATTGCTCTGTACCCAAGGTAAGGCAGAACATCAAGGCAGAAGGGTGTGATGGAGGAGGGCAGCTCAGGACTTGAAAGGAAGCAGACAGTGAGATTAAGATCAGCAGATCAGGGAAAAATATATATTCCAGCGGCATTCCCCCAATGACCCACCTCCTTCAGCCATACTTTACCTGCCTATAGTTACCACCCAGTTAATCCATGTACTGATTAGGTTAATGTTCTCATAACCCACTCATTTCACCTCTATACTTTTTTGCATTGCCTTACACATGAACTTTTGTGGTACCTCATATCTAAACCATCACAGCATCCTTACCAGTTTCTCATCTTGATGGGAAATTAAATGTTTTTCAAGAATATGGAAATTCAAGTTACTGAGGTTCAAAGAATACTTCAAGTCAGTTCTCAAGAAAATAAGCGGGATTTTCAGTGACATCAGCTCTGTTAGACAATTTTGCAATTTATTTGTCCAGAGCAATGCACTTCAGGGAGTTTCCTTGATTTTCTTTCTGCACAGGAAATGCTGTGTCAGGCTATACCCTGCTGAGGATGGCCTTGCAGGCAGTGAACAGGGCCTTGGACCAGGCATTACATGGTTAAGACCTGTTTGGCTTGGCTGTTCATTTGTTATGTGACATGGAGCAAATAAATTCTCCTTTTGGTGCCTCCCACTCCCCTCCCTCATCTACAAGATCTATAAGAAGATTAGGTGAGGGATTTCTAATTGTTTTCAAGTTCCATGATTCATTTATAAACTAATTCATGTGTTTCTCTTTCTGAAAGGGCACAGAAATAATGGTGTCTCTGACCTCTCTTCTGTATGATGAAAAAGAGTTTCCCAACCCACAGAAGTTTGACCCTGGCCACTTTCTGGATGAAAGTGGCAACTTTAAGAAGAGTGACCACTTCATGGCTTTCTCAGCAGGCAAGCAAGCTCTGTTTTCATGTGTGCATCAGGGGTCAAATGAGGAGAAGGGAGACTTCTCTGGCCTGTACGAATTGCCATTTCTATGAGGCCAGAGGCATGTTCAGGTTGTTAGGTTTTTCTCATTGGGTTGGAGGCTCTGCCCATTGATTCTGCTTCCTGACCCTGCAGAGATTCTGAAGAGCTCCTAGAAGTCCAGTTCTACCAAGAATTTTCTCAGTTACCTTGAGAAGTCAGTTTAATCAATAACATTACTGAGCACCTTATGTGTAGCAATCCCACACTGAGATCCAGGGATACGAAAGTGAATAAGAAACAGATCTTCTCTCCAAGAGAGAGGAAGATTAATTCACAGGCAATGAAGCTGTAGTGTGACCAATGCTATGCTAGAGGCTGCTGTGAGAGCATAGTGAGATGAGCTCCTGACTGGTCTTTTTGAGGCAGGGGAAGAGCATTTAGAGGGTAAGGGAAATTTTTTTTCAGGAAAGAACATTTGAGTATTTTGTCTTAATTTGTAAGGGTCTTTGTAGGAAACAGGTGGCAAACACTCAAAAATGTTAGCTGAAGGGTCTAATAAGGAGGCTGTTTTCGGAGGTGTGCACAGGACAAGGGAAGTGGCCAAGTGTGCTATTAGGGACTAGCATCAGCAAGAAGATGTTTCCATCCCAGGTTGGAAGGTTCAAGGGAAGGAGGGTGTCCCTGGAAACTAAATAGGCATTTAGCCAAGATACAGTGGATGCTTAAACTGCAAATGCGTGTATTGGTAGATGAATAAATACAGTCACTGCCAGAAGTAGGAAGTGGGAGAGTGGGACTGAAGCACTAAGTACTCTAAGCTCTTTGACACCCAGTTGTATGAATTCTAAGGAATTGGGTCCTGGATTAATACTGTCCCTAGAAGCCAGTTTCCAGGAAACAGATAGACATAAGGAAAGGAAGAAAGGGAAGAAGAGAAACCAGGTTTGTGGATGAATAGAAGCCAAGCATTAATTATTCATAGATTAATATATTCATTAATTTTGTATTATTTAAGCCTCCTCTTGTGATAACTCAGAAATAGAATTAAATGATTAATTGATTTGTGTGTCATTTTTAGGAAAAAGAGTTTGTGTTGGAGAGGGCCTGGCTCGCATGGAACTGTTTTTAATCCTGACCAGCATTTTACAGCATTTTACCTTGAAACCTCTGATTGATCCAAAAGACATTGACACCACCCCAAGTACAATTGGTCTAGGCTCTATACCACCCTCCTATGAACTCTGTTTCATTCCAGTCTGAAGAAAGGAAAGGTTACCAAATTTCTGAAACTCTACAGCCTCATCTGAACAAGTATATATATATTTTTTTCTGGCTGATGTGTCAATCATTTTGTACACCCTAACAGGAGGAATACCATCCATGAGCTCTGTGTCTTCTAATTTTCCCCACCCTTCAAAATTCAGTTCAAACTTCCTGCATAAGAGAAACCTCACTGTTGAATATCTAATAAAATTCTTGTTGTAATACAGTTCTGAGATCATAAGCTACAGTGCATCTTCAGTGTATACCAAACAGAAACAAACTTATAAATTAGTTTATTTTAATAAAAATTAACAATCAGAAATTATCCTATGATTTTAAAAATATTTTAAAATAAAATACAGAATTTATGCATCTCTCACTTCTATGTAACTCTCTAGGGGAATGATTTCTTGACAGTTTGTTCAATATGCTTTTGTCTTTTTCCATGGTTATTAAATTATAATTATGTGTGTACATGTATATGTGTGTGGTGAACATGTTTATTCATGTATGTACAGGTTTATGTATGTGTATGCATATAGGGAGAAAACATGGAAAGATCTTTCCAGCCAGAGGGAACAAATAACAAGAAGTAAAATCTGAATTTGCCAGTTTGTCCAAGGATATCTTTTCTTTTTCCCTCTAGTGGTTAAACACTACCCTCTCATGCACATGGATAAATAGACCTAGGGGAATATGTATATATGGTGATATTTGAACACACAGAGAAATACTTACATATGTGTTGGATATTCCATAATTGCCAAAATTATTTCCCTATTCAAATCTATATAGTTATGTGATATTTAGATTATTTTTGAACTGTTAATATAAAAATGCTATGTGCACATATACTTTTATTCCTGTACTTCATCAGGGTGGTTTCCTAGATAGTAAATGGCTGCACTATAGTGAATATGAGCTTTTATTTCAGAGATGGTGAAACATAGTGCATTAAATATTATATAAGTGTTTACTTTTTCTATTATGCATGTAACTAAGGACTACGTTGTTGTAAATCATGAGGATCTGATCATTTGGTAGATTTAGTAATTTTTGGTTTCCTTTCATGAATTTTTTCAAGTAGAAAATTCTATCATCTGAAAACAATATTTCATTGCAATGATCAGAAATTTCTAGAAATAATGTCTTTATCTAAGTTTCTGTATTTCTGTCCATGTCTTGTTCCCTCAATGACTATACATACACATGCATACAAACATATACACACATATGTAAATTAACATTTTTTTATAACAAATGTAAAGCTTTGTAGGAATAAGATAACAGAGTGATTGGGATAACTACATGGGGAAATCTGATATTTTATGTGATTTTACCCTGGAAGTGATTGTGGATTTGAAATCAGGATGTAAAAGCTGGAAATGTTGACTATAAAATGACACATAGGAAATTTAGAACTTGAAAGGAATTTTTGCCAGATTCTCAGGGATACAAGAAAAAAATGGAGTTTAGAGAACATCAAATAGGAAAGATAAATATCTTGACTTCAGTTGAATCCTGAAGGTTAGTATGAAAGTCAATATTTAATATTAAGTGTAGGCCTAAAGTTCAAGAGTCTTAACACCAGAGTTCTGGGTTAAATAATTGTAATCACTGACTACATTGATCCACTCCTAAACATGCTTCTTAAACACATACTCTTGACTACACAAAAGAAAGTCATCCTGAGCCTCAGATTATCATGACATTATTTGATGTACAATGTGAAGCAATAATTTAAGAACTCCAGACAAACATGTGATCATGTTATATCTGATATGAGGCATAGACATCTTCTGTAGTTTCAGTTTTTGAAGATTTTTGTTCATCAGATCAACTCAAATTCTATATCTGTATATTTATAAATTTGATTGTGAAATTAATAATTTTCTAATTCAGTACCACTTTCAAACATTTTTTTAAAAATCTGGTGATCAAAGAGACTTATGTTTAATTATTGTTTTCATGAATAAGAATACAGAATGGAAATACTGCAGTACAACAGACTCCCATGAAGAGTACTTGCATCCCCAGTTTGCTCCCAGCCAACACGGATCTCACCACCTAAGGGAAGACTCAGACCTCTGACCCTTCTTTCAAAGATGGAGTTTCTGGGTTGGGTGCGGTGGTACACACCTGTAATGCCAGAGGTTGGTGAGGCTGAGGCAGGAGGATAGTGAGTTCAAAGCCAGCCTCAGCAAATGTGAGGCACTAAAGAACTCAGTGAAACCATGTCTCTAAATAAAATAGAAACTAGGGCTGGGGATGTGGTTCAGTGGTTGAGTGCCCCTGAGTTCAGTCCACAGAACCTCCCCCCAAAAAGAATTTTTGTTCTCCAGTCACACTGAACCCTCACCATGCTCTAGTGCTCTAGTCATGGATATTCTACTCCAGCTGAATACCATGTTCCTCATGAGGATTCTCCCATTACCACCACGAAAGGAAATGTGAACATGGAAGGAGACACATGTGATTTCATGGAGAACACAGTTCTGAATAATGGGGCAATAAAAGCATGTGTGTGTGCATAGTATGTGCACATGTAGATGTGTGAGAGGTTGAGTTGAGGTAGTAGGCATGTCTGTATGAGAGAGAGTGAGGGAGGGGGATGGGGAGAGAGGGAGGGAGGATTAAGCTCATTTGAAAAAGCTTCCTTGGAATTTGAGGTCCCCTTAAGTTATAATTTATATTTTCTTCCCCTGATTCCTGCTCTGATGTTTATGGTGATTTCTCTTCTTTTTCTTTTACAACTTAAGAAATAATTTTCCCTAGATGTAGAAAAGGCCTTTTTTTTTTCATTTGTTTATTTCACTAGAAGAGTCTAGATAATTATCATCAACTCAACTCTAAACCCTCTGAATTGTGAAAATCAACAGTGACACAATCAAATCCATTACATAGTCTACTGATACATTGTCTACCAGTTTTATCTTTTGGAGAGCAGTGGAGCAGAGGAAGGGATTTAAGGGAGAAAGAGGAGGAGGGATGGGAAAAGGGAGGAACTGAATGAAATTGAGCAAATTATGGCCTGTAGACATAAGAATATGTCACAGTGAATTTCATGTTTATGTATATCTATAAAGCACTAATTAAGAAAAAAACTATGAATTAATAGGAGGAAGACCTATAGAGCAGAAGAAGGGGAACTGGGGAGGGAGGAGGGGAGGGAAGGGGGAAGTACTGGGAACTGACATGAAGCAAATTACATTCCATGCATGATTATGTCAAAATGAACCCCAATATTAATGCACTATGAAGGCATAAAAAAATCATGTGACTTAAAAAATAATGATAGAAAGTTCTCCAAGCTTCTGAGGGCTCATATTGCTCTGAAGGCCTGGAGCTCAGCTTTCCTCTTATGAGCCCAACCTTTTAGTTTGTCTGAGGTTTTCCCCTTGGTCTTCTTCTTGGACTTCCTTTGTGTGTATTCAGTTTCTCTTTTGTCTTATTTTGCTCTTTTTGGCAGAACACATTCCCCCCACCCGCCCAAAAAAAGGTGCATGGGAGATGTCATGGTTAATTATGGGTGTCCACTTGGCTGGATTAAGGGAAACCCAGGTACCTGGTAAGGCACGATTTCTGGGTATGTCCTTGAGGGTGTTTTCAGAAGGAATGGCCATTTGAATCAGTGGACTTAATAAGGAAGATTTCCCCTCTACCAACACATGGGCACCATCCCTTAGGCTGAGGGTCTGGAGACAACAAAAAGCAGAGGAAAGGCAAATTCCTGTTGACCTTCTCATCTTGAGCAGGGACACCTTCTCCTGCCCTTGGACAATAGAACTCCAGGTCTTCCAGACATGGATTTTTAGACTTGCATCAGTTGTCCTCAGTTTCATAGGTGTTTGACCTCAGATGGAATATCACTCCATCAGCTCTGTCAGTGCTCATGCCTTTGGACTTGGACTGAGTTACAGCACCTGTATACTTGGTTCTCCAGACTGCATATGTTCTACTGTGGGACTTCTCAGTTTCCATAGTCATTTGAAAGAGACAGTTCCTGTAATAAGTGCCTTTCTATTATCTATCTATCATCATTTTGGTTATCTCTGAAAAACAGGAAATCAATTTTATGATATGTCATTATTTAGCTGAGAGTTATCTGGACATAGGTTTCTGGATTGTAATTAGCTTTTCTTATAGTCCTTAAGCCTTATCTTTAGTGAATTCTAGTGTGCTGTACACCTTTTGGAAAGTTGTATTTCCTCCTGAATCTTGATCCTTCATATGAAACATGCTTTTTTTTTCCTTTTGAAATCTGGAAATATCTTCTTTCTTTATTTAACATTAACAAAGATTAAATGTATATCAATTATCTTCCAATAACCCTTTAAGATAAAGAGCCCAATAAAAGTTAAAAGTAATTGATTAGAAATCTATATTTTCTAGCCAGTTAGTTCAGGCTCACCTCCTGTCTCTGCCTATGTGATTTTGAACAAGATACTTAACAAAGCCTTGTCTCAGTCATTTGGATAGTAATTGGATATAATAATAATGTCATAGGCTGAATATATGATTCTTGAAACCCATGAATTTTTTTAACTTTATAAGATCTGCCACGCATCCAGCGCGGACTTCATGAAAGAAGGTTCAGTTCATAAGAAATTGCTAGTGAGTTTTAAATTAAAGAGACAGAGAAATGCAAATCAAAACCACCCTAAGATACCATCTCACTCCAGTAAGATTGGCAGCCATTATGAAGTCAAACAACAACAAGTGCTGGCGAGGATGTGGGGAAAAGGGTACACTTGTACATTGCTGGTGGGACTGCAAATTGGTGCGGCCAATTTGGAAAGCAGTATGGAGATTCCTGGGAAAGCTGGGAATGGAACCACCATTTGACCCAGCTATTGCCCTTCTCGGACTATTCCCTGAAGACCTTAAAAGAGTGTACTACAGGGATACTGCTACATCGATGTTCATAGCAGCACAATTCACAATAGCTAGACTGTGGAACCAACCTAGATGCCCTTCAATAGATGAATGGATAAAAA